TGTAATTAGTACTGTAATAGTTTTTATGTAATAATTTAACTTCATGTTTTATGACAAACTCCAAAATCTGTTTATGTTATAAAGCCATATATGTAAAATTATGCATAAATTTTTTAAAAATATGCTGTAAGCAATACAAATTATATAATTTAGATAGAAATATGTATTGCTTATATATGTAAATTAATAATAAAATAGAATTTTTGGTCTGCATAAATCAGTACAATAATTGGTTATTTATTTGTGATTTAATTAGATAGAAACTTGTGCATAATTATTAAATACTTAGATATATTGACAGCACTATATAAGTGAAATAAACATATTTTATTTATTAAATACTTGATTTATTTAAATATGTATTTAAATTAAAATAACTTTAGTACTGATATTATAATATGAGTTCAGTAAATTATGATTTAAATTCTGATGTATATATTTTTCTTTTGTAGTATTATATAAATATATTTTATTTATAATAATATAGTGTTCCAATTCGCCACCTTTATATTCATATTGGATTTATCCAGATATCTATTTCTAATCTATGACTGATATCAATAATAAACTGGATTTCTATAGATATTCAAATTGGGTATTTAATAGATAAATAAATAGATAGATAATAATTAAAACTCTAATAACAAGTATATTTTAAATTTAGAAACCACAAGCTTTATTGTTATTATTATAAAATTTTAACTACCAGAAAAATTCATGTAACAATTTGCAAATAGATCTACTAATTTAGGCAGATTTGTTTCATTACACTAATCAAATATAATTACTAATTAATATGATCGATTCATCCTGAACTTGACCATCGATTATTCACTGATTTATACAAATAACAAAGCAAATTGGTAACTAATCAATAGTCAATTGCTAATATCATTTGGTATAAATCAGCTAATTAATCAATAATTGAGTTTAGGTCAAATTGACCATTTTAATAGATTGTCAGAAAATATAATAAATCAACTTATATAGAGTTTCAATATAGAAAAATCCTTCATCTATATATCCATATCAGAATATATTCAGATATTCATTTTTTATTGGTATCTGAATAATTCATTTACAGCAATTTGAAATAATTATAAAGTAGGTCATATATTTCTACTTCATATTTAATTATTACTATATATATTCTATATATATAGATTTCTAACTTGTTTTTAATAATAAGGTATATCTATAGAGGATTTGTTTCTCTGGGAAGTTTCGATCCCAAATTTATTTTTGATCTTATTTTAGTCGCTGATGAGTTCCTTCTTGAAGTTTTAATTGGATCTCTTGAAACTTATTTAATCGAATCCAAAGCCTATTGGTTACGCTCTCATTTTACTTATATTTATAAAGCATGCTTCCAAAATAGCAAACTAAAAGAACTACAAAAATGGTGTAACAGCATTTTGGCAAAGCTCCCAAATTTTACTTTTGATTCTGAAGAGTTTGGTTCTCTTAATGAAAATGTATTAGTTTCACTTATTAAGCGTGATTATCTGCAAATGGAAGAGATAAAGATTTGGAATTATGTTATAAAGTGGGGAATTGCGCAAAATCCTGATTTGCCTACTGATCCTGAATGTTGGTCTGATGAAAATTTTACAACTTTAAAGGTCACTCTGAAAAATTGTTTACCTCATATCCGCTACTTTCAAATGTCCGGAAAAGATGTCGCAGATTATGTATTTCCATATTTTCAAATTCTTGAAAAAAAACTTTGGAAAGATCTGAATAAAAGTCTTTTATCCCCCGATTATAAAGTTGCATCAACAATTCTACCACCTCGTATTATTTTAAAAACAGAATTACCAACTATATCAACTGAACCATGTTCAACCGTTATTAACGAAGAACATGCAGCCGAAATTGCATCATGGATTGACAAAATATCTATCCCATATAACACAAGAAACAATCCATACGAATTTAAATTACTTCTTCGTGGAAGTAGAGATGGATTTACTCGTGAATCATTCTGGAATTTATGCAATATGAAATCAAATACTGTTACAGTTATAAATGTTAAATGTGATGATAATTCTGAAAGAATTTTAGGTGGATACACTTCAGTTGCATGGAATAGCAGCAAACCTGGTACGGTTCGTTGCATAGATAGCTTTATTTTTTCATTAAAAAATAGTGCAGTCCAAAATTCTATTCTAAGTCGTGTTAAAATGCCATCAAATGCCATTCATAATAGTATTTATGCATGTGGTGTGAATTTCGGATGTGGTCATCTTATGATGTTTTATGACTCTAATAATAACCAAAATAATGGATGCTGTACTCATCATCATGGGTGTTATGAAAAACCTATTGATATTGCATTAGGTAATAAGGTGCGTAATTATTTTGTAAACGAATATGAAGTGTTTCAAATTCATAAAAAGTCTAAATAAAAAAATTAGATAACTGTCGCGCTACAATTACTTTGATATCTAAAATCTTACTGTATTGCAAAATGTGTATTACATATAACATAAATTGCACAAATATGAGAATTTTTAGTGCAATCGTCAATAATATGGCTGCAAATAACTTATACGTATTAAGTTAATGATTTTACATTGTTATTTAATTATATTTTATTCATGTTAACTTAGAGAATGAGTATAAAAAATACTCATTGCATGTAAAACATACTAGTAAAATCGGCGCAGTTTTGCTGTTTTCATTATACCTGTACATAGAACAGAGTCACCAGATTCTAGTTAAAAAAAAATGAAAGAAATTGAGAGCAATGCCTTTATATCAAACGAAAATCAAAATTTTCAATCCAAAGTTTAAGATCCGGTGTATATTATGTAGTAAATATTTACATATTTTATATAAAAATAATGACAATATAAATAAATTTTCATGCTAAGCACCTTATTTAGAGATCGAAGGTTAGATTTGGAGGTTGGTTTTGCTTGACATAAAGGTCCCAACCTTTAACCGTTTACCCGGTTAGGTCCTGGCTGTTTAATTTTACATTATTTATACAGTTTAAAGTACTTTTTTAAAAAAATAAAACTACGAAGAAGCATATAAAAAGTTTTATTAGGGTTGTAGGACTCAACCATTAAAATCATCTCTAGTTTTAGAGAAGTTAGCGTAATAGCGACATCTTAAAGATAGATAGAATTAGGCTAGTACCATGCTAACTTCTCTAAAGCAAAAAGGGATTTTGATTATTTTTAATAGTGGAGTCCTACTTCATAGTTTTATTTTTTTAAAAAGCACTTTAACCTGTATAAATAATGTAAAATTAAATTGATTTAAGCAGCCAATCATATGAAAGTCTTCCTATGTGGTTAGGTTAATTTTTGACCGCGACCCGTTAAATTGCTGACCCGACGGGCAGTATTTAAAATTCCAACTTAATTTTGTTTTCAAAAGATCATTTTTCGTTTGAATTCTTAATGTTTTCAAAGGGTTTTAAAGTTTTCAATCTAAGAAAATTAAAATTTTTAAATATCAAAAAATTTGTCAAATGTTCTCAAATAGAGAATAATTCATGTAAAAAATTGATAAATGTCCTCTGAGAACGCTGAGAACATCAAATTTGAAACACTGTAAATGATAGATAAGTAGGGTAAAATCGCATTTATTACTAATAAACTCATTAACAGTTAATATAGCATTACGGTATTACGGCGTGTGGTAGAATTAATTACAACATTGCATATCTGATATAATTTCCGTAAAATTGGGCATCATAGCATTAATGAAATACTGTAATCGTAAATAATCTTTTTGGAAATACGAGTGCTGCAAAAATTGTTGTCAACTTTCTGTAAATAATCTCTTTAAAATATAAAGCTTTATATACTAAGTTAATGTGGGCTAATAAAATATGATATATGGTAAATATTAATAAACTCTAATAAAATACTCAATATTTATATATAATATTTTTTTTACTTGCTAATGATGCAATCTATATTAATGTTATATTAATCGACGAAAATATGCTTTGCAACAGGTTTTTGTTAGTTATAATTATTTCTTTTATGGCAAAAAAGTTTTCATGCTACTACAGTATAATACAGTATATAGGTATTTCCAGAGATGGGCACGCGCGGATTTTTTTGGATCCCGCGCGGGATTTTTAATATGATCCGGAAATAAGATTATCTGGCCGGCATTACCATAATAGCTGGCTAGTATTAATATAATATCTGACCTGCATTAACATATTTAGCTAAATCCCAATTAAAATTTATTTATTTTATTTGCATATCATTTCACACATATGTTTATTTATATATATGATAAGAATTTACCTTCTTTGCCGTTGGTATCTTTCGCTTACATTACAAAATATTCTTTATGATTAGGTCACTCTTTTAAAATAAATAACGTGCGTAGTAATAATAATATTTGGAATCATACAAAAATTGGATTAGATGAAACCTTTAACCAAGGACGTGCTTAATGTAATTACTGTTATTAAACCTTGCAAAAAATACGTGGAAATTCACTATTTTGATTGGCCAACGGCAACGACCAAAAATTTAGGCAAAATTACTCGAATTTTTAGTAAAGAAATCGTGGCCGCCCATTAATTGAAATTAGGGTTTAAAAATTTGTGGTTTGATGAATCCCGCGCGGGATTTTTGAAGAAACCGCGATTTGCCCATCTCTATGTGCTATATATCCCGTGAAATTACATGAAATCCATGTTGCTAAAACTTATGTGAAATTACATGTATTGTAAATTTGTGAAATATAATTTTCAACCCTTAGTGAAATATGTTCCTGGGTTAATTTTACTATTACATAGACCCGAACCTTAAATAATTAAAAAATTAAACTCCGGCCAAAATTACCGTACCGTTCCGAAATTAAACACCCTTTTTTTGTTATAAGCGGTGCTTAATTTTGGGTACTTTTTTTTTAATGCGGATAAGCTTTATGATATCGATATGATGTAATTTATATTTTATATAAATAAATGTAAAGGCAAACCAAAATAGGAAATATTGCTAATTTTTAGTATCACTATTATGTCACCACGAAACAAACCTAAAAATAAAGGTGTTATACAAAAAAAGACAATTACCAAAAAAACTGCTAAACACAAACATGCTGCTAAACATAAATGTAATTTATATTTCATTGAACAAAAGAAACAAGTTATTGCCTATGCTAAAGTAAATGAAAGAAATAAAGCCGCAGCAGCCTTTAAGCTTGACCGCAGTATGGTTGGTCATTGGATCAAAGCAAGTAGGTTATGGGTAGTCAAAATAAGACAAAGCATCAAGCGAGTTGGCTCTGGTCGAAAAGAATTTTATCCAGAGGCCGAGAAAAAACTATACAATTGGATTATGGAACAGAGAAAACAATGATTGGATGTTTCTTATAAAATTGCATATATTAAAATGTGTGATATTTTAAAAGAGCCTGATATGATGATTCTTTATAGTGATTCAATAAAAAATTTTAAATTATCAAATTGTTGGATGTTCGTGTTTATGAAACAATATGAGCTATCTTGGCAATGACATACTAAGGTTTTACAAAAACTTCTTTCACAAACTGATAAATTATTAGAGAAATTTTATCAATTTATTATCCGTCTTAAAAACAAGAAATGCTTTGAATTATCCAATATACTTAATATGGATGAAACTTCTGTCTGGTTTGATATGATTGGAAACTTTACTATTGACCAGACAGGTGAAAAAACAATTCATATTCATGGAACTAATAATGACAAAAATCGGTTCACTGTAGTTTTAACATGTGCTGCAGGTAAAAATAGTTTTTTAAAGACTATAGTTCAAATTTCAATTTTAATTAATTGTTTTTTTTTATATATATAGATGGAACAAAGTTTCCTCCAATCTGCATTTTCAAAGGCAAATAATTACCATGTGGCGAAAAAATTCTATCTGGTATTTTTACTTGGTTTCAAGATAATAGATGGATGGATACTAACTTGATGATACGATATGTTAACTATATTAATGATGTAAGAGATAATAATGAATATTAGGTTCCAACAATGATGGTATATGATTCTTTTAGAGAACATTTAGATGATTCAATCAAAAATAAATTTCAGAATAGTGGCATTGACTTAGCAGTTATTCTAGAAGGCTTAACCAGCATTTGCCAACCACTTGATGTTGCAATTAATAAACTATTTAAAGACAATCTTCGCAAAGAATGGCATTTTTGGATGGCAAAAGGTGGTGCTGGAACAACTGCAGCTGGAAATCTTCGACATGCTAGAATAAGTGATGTGTGTGGATGGGTAAAACGTTTCTGGGAACAAATTCCAGATGATGTTATTATTAATTCCTTCATAAAATGTGGTATCTCAAATAATTTAAACCAGGATATTGATACTAATAGAAATCGATTGAATTCTAATAATACACATGTGAGTGATGATATTGAAATCATAGACCTTAGTGAAGATATTGAAATAGAAGATATTAACGATGATGTTGAAATAATCAATATTAGTGAAGATATTGAAATTATGGATATAAGCGATAACATTAAAATTATGGATATAAGTGATGTCATCAAAATTATGGATATAAGTGATGATATTGAAATGATAAATACTAAAGATGACATTGAAATTATTGATATTAATGATCATTAACTTTATTTAGTGTAGCCACAAATTATATAATTTAAATAATCAAATTAAATAATTAATTTTAAGTACTTAAATAATCGAAATTAAATAATTATTATTAATTTAAACATTAAATAATTGAAATTGAATAATTAATTTTAAGTTTCTAGTATAAAAAAGGAAAAATAAATATCTATTAATGCAAATTAAAAGGCAAAACTAATATAAACATGAGGGTGCTTATTTTTGGATACTATACAGAATTTTATAGTGCTTAATTTCAGGGGGTGCTTAATATCGGAATGGTACGATATGTATAATGTGGACCAAAATTTTGTCGATCACAGCAGTTGGCCAATCAAAATTGAGGTTCAACCACACGGGATTTTTTGAAAACCTGATTTGCCTATCTCTAGGTAGTTCAAAAGTCTACTTTATTTTTTAATATTGAATGGGGTAAGCTTCATTATTTTATCGTCAGATGTAGAATCATGACTCTGCTTAACTACTTATTACCTATTTTGCATATTAAATATTCAATTTCTTTACATAATTTAGCAAATTTGTTTTTCTATTCTTAAAAAAATATTTGTTTTGACGCTTGTTAGAATCTTTAGTCTATATATAGTTTTCTATATTATATAAGTGCAGCATATTTACTAGATCGATTACAAATTACTCAATATTTGTATTTAAGATAGTTATGGGATAGTTAAACTGTGTACCATATCATATAAATTAAGTAATATAACATTTAGAATATGTACTATTATTCACTTTACAGTTATTATAAATAGTTGCTTAAGTTTTAATTCTGTTTATCTAATAACTCAATGTTATTACATAATAATAAAATGTATTTTGGCTTTTTTTATATTTTCATTTTTATTTTAAAAATCATTTTTACTTATGATATTTTATTCTAACTAAAGGAGAATATCATTCCTCAATTCTTATTAGCAAGAAAATTTATTTTAGTGGTGGGATTAATTCTGTTTCTGGTGTTATAAATGAATTGTTTTTATTTAGATCTCTCTGAACCATTTACAACAACTAATAATACCTTAACACCATGGGTTGACTTTACTTATACTAGTGGTCCTTGGAAGTCTCAAGCTACAGCCTGTAACAGTGGAAAAAATATTATTATTATTTTCATTTTTGGTAGTTATCCTTTATTTCAGCCATCTGTTAATCAGTTTAATACAAGTAAACAACAATGGACTAATATTACATCTATTGGAAGTGTACCAGTATATAGAGATTATATTTCATATGCTGAATTTAATAATGGTTTAGTCGCCATTTTTAGTAACTACAAAATTAGTACGTACTCCTATCTCCAATAATCTTTGGATATTTAATACATTAACATAATCCTAGAGTTTAAGCAATGCAACAAATCTACCACTATCTCAGGTTAGTTATTGTGCAATAACTTTACCTAATGAAAATATTTTATATATTGATGGAATTAGTCCTAATTTATTATCATATATGCCAATAAATAATGTAAGTTTTATAATTGATATTTTAGTCTTATTTATTTATGCTTTTTAGTACATAGTTACCATTATATAATACAAAATCTGATACATGGACAAATATGATGTGTGATAAATATGTATTATTTTTATTCATTTCAATAATTAAAGATCTAAATCTAATATCTTATTAATGTATTAGAATATATCTGGCCCAACACCTCTTGTCTGTTTTGGCTTCTCTGCAGTTATATTATTTAACAAAAATTTTTTTATTTTGGTATTTAAAAATATTTTTACTAACTTAACTGCTTTTAAACTTTTAAGCAAAATTTTAAAGCAGACTTTATGATTCTAATGATAGTATAATTATTAAATTTGGATTAAAATTCATTTATTTAAAGATTTGGTATTATAAATCTATTATAAAAATCATATAGTAATAATCAACCAATCAGAATATTACCACTGAGAATTTGGATTTATCACTGAGACTTTTACGATATATACAAGTATAGTTTTTTTAAATAATATATATTATAATTTTTTATTATAATAAGTAAACCATTTTAATTTATATATCTTAAAAATTTAATAAAATTTTGGTATATTTTTAAAAAATTTTATTAGTATCATATTTTTACTTAGATGAGACCAACTGGATTCTGTATTTTATATTACTCTTTTCTCTCTCAGCATTTCTCCTTTCCATCATAATAAAAAATTTTAGATAAATATACATAGGATTATGGGTTATTTTAAAAAATTTTTATATAGTTATAGAACAATTCAGTAATAATTTTTTTTGAAATTTTTTTTTTTTAAATTTTACAGAAATTTTTCCTTTCTTCTGGAGAAAAAAGAAAGGTAATGTAAAACATAGAATCAAATTAGTATTATTTAAATAAATAAATATTATATATATATTTATTTAATAATTATAATATTAGAGAAAATTTTTATTTTATATATTTTATTATGCAGTTTTAACAAAATTTATTTTTGTTAGTTAACTATTTAAGTTTTTAGATTTTTAGTTTATACTTAACAACAAACAAACTTAACAAATTAAAATTATTTGAGAAGAAACACTTCAATTTACAAACATTGTTAGTACAAAAAAAATCATAAATAAATAAATCATTTATATAATTAGCACTATTATTATACTTATATTTGAATATAAATTACACAATATTATTATATCTTACTCTATATATAACAATATTCTTACTAAATACTTAACAGTAATTAAACACAAATCTTATCTAGTATACTCAATTCTCAATAGTACTATGCTTAATATATATTTGTATAATGTTTATAATATATAAGATATCCAACTTTAATATCATATTACTAATTTTTTACTATAAATCAACAATTCAATCTATTAGAAATCTCAATATAGATCAGGCTACAACAGCTTCAAAACAATTTATGATTAACTATTAATATAGTTCAATATCTCAATTCTATTATTGATAATTCAAATAAATATACCTTAAATTTTAAATTATTTAATTATTAATATACTTAAATATATTTATAATAACTAACTCCAATATATTCTAGTCAAATACTATATTATATAATTTTTAATTACTAGAATTAATTATATCTCAACATTTACAATATATTAGTTTTAAAAAACAAATTAGAAATCTTAATATTCTATATTTTGAATAGCTGTATATAGTTAACAATAGTATATTACTTAAATAAAAATATTTTTTATCATGACTATTATATCTACCTAAAGGTTAAAACCATTATGGTTTACTTATTTAGAAAACACTATAATGGCTCATAATAGCTACAAAGTCTTCTTTTTACATTATCAATAATTAGGATATAACCTATTTGCATATAGCTTACAACATATCTTCAAAAAATCTAAATTCTGGTTATTTATATACACTAACAATAAGATTATTATAAATAAAATCTATAGATATTACAAATTTATTAATCAAATATCTATCACATACTGGCAAACAAATATTAATATAAATTATTTTAACTATTATTTTTTTTACCAACCCAATGCCCATTCTGCTCAGATTACTATTTAAACTCTAATAGAATCTAAAATTTATATACAATCAATGTATTTACGATTATTTCTTCACAATCTTTAGAAAGAGTTATTTCTAATTTAGTAAACTTTAATGCTAACTATATAGATCTTATCCATTTAACAGCTATCAGATATCTACTATCAATTTCTTTAGCATCAACAATTTCAATTTCTAACTCTTATATATTTGAGATATTCAAAACTAATAAAGCAACAAACACACTTGAATAATATTCAATCCTCAATAACTCTCAATGATAATTTAATTTTTATACTAATGGTTCAGTAATTAATATTAGAACTAACTAATATATAATGGGTATTGGCTGAATTCAGGTTAATAATGATAATCAAATTATTTACAAATTCTTTGCCAAGATACATTTCTAATTATTATTTTACAAAATAGAACTAATAACTATTCTCTTAGCTATTTCTATTACACTCCAAAATGTAATAGTTAATATCTTCACAGATTTCTAATTTATTATTACTAAATACTCAAACATTTATATTACACTTTTTAATTCTAACAAACTTTTCAAATTTATGACCTATATAATATATCTTATTGAATATTATTAATTGTTACAACATTTAGATCAACTTTTATAAAGTGCAAGTTTATATGAACAATGATCTGAACAACCTTGCTAACTCTCTTACTAAACAATATAATCTTTCTTTTGATCTATACTTTAATTATATAAATATCTATAATCTATATCATATGCTGTTCTGAAACTAATATTTTATAGAATACCCTACTAGAACTTTTATTAAAAATATTTGTAAAACTTATATTTTGGTCATGTGGTCATCTTAAAAATATAACCAAGAATAGAACCAACTTATTTCAGAAATAGATTGGAAGTTTACATACTATATATTAATTACAACCAAAAACTAATACATAATATAATTAATTTTAAACTTAATTATCTCAAATTCTTTAAAATTAAAATCTAATAAATGAACTGCTTACATACTTTCTTTATCATAAAATATATCTATACATTTTCTATAATACAAATTACTTTTACTGCAGCTTGCCTAACACTCCAATATACTGATAAATATGTATTAACCCTACACTACTCACTAATATTATACAAAATACTATTTTTAAACATATTAGTCAAAGCAACTTAGGTTTTTCTAAATCTTAGCAAAAAAAACTTATTTAAAAAATTCAAAACTATGAAACTTTTTATTATATACTATTCAATAAAAACTCATTCTATCTTGATATTATACTTAAAGAACTTATATCCAAATCTCTAATTCAAATAATTTAAAATCTAAATATTTCTTATAAATTAGCATCATAAACTGTTATTAAAATACTTTTTGAAATTAATAAGCTATATTATTAACTACTTTAGAAGCCATATTATATAAACTTCTTAAACTAAAAAAAATAACAAACTCTCAAACCTCTTTTTTCTAAACATCTAACTTAAACTAATTATAATAGACAAACCAAATACAATCATCAAATATATATATACTTATACATATATAGATTACCTAATCAAGTATACTTAAACTCCAACTCATATCTATCTATCAATTATGTTATTAGAAAAATTAATATATGAACTATTTTCTGAATTAAATATAATATCTTTTTTAATTATATTTTAATTATCCAAATCTAGGTGAATCTTGAATATTCTAGTAGGTTTAGGTTATAGATAAATATATATTTAAACTTTATTCTTAAATGTAGTTTTATTCTTATTTGTATTTAAGTTAGTTATATAGTTAGCAGTTTAATAGTTAGTCTTAACTGCAAATGTTGGCCTCAACTATAGTATTTATATATAATTATTTTTGTATATAATAACTCTATATAGTTACTAACTTTAAAACTACCAATAAAGATATAAGCAAGGCTTCACCTTAATACCAAAAAAAAAAAATTATAAAGATAAAAAATTTAAAAATCTAATTTCTGTTTTTTAGCTCTCATTTCATTAATCTTAATTTCAATTTGAGTAAAATGATTTTTTACTAATTTTTATATATTCTACAATATAAATAAATATTTTTATATTTATCAATTAATTTACTTAGCAAATTTAATATATTATCTATTGTTTTATACTAATACAAAGTTGAGTTTGATCTTCTTTTATGTATATATAATAGTTTGTTTCAATAGATAAGTTACAAAAAATAAGTTTACAAACAAAAGAGTATTATATAATAAATATTCTTCATCTAAAATTAGACTTCTACAAATATATAGATTATTATGAAATGCAGTTTGTTACTGTAATATCTCATTATTATTAAGAGAATTCTGACTGTAAAGATAGCATTATTTTTTACAAGATGTATATTCTACCAAACTATTAATATTCTTGTATATATAAAGGTCACTAGGATCACACTTCTTCTCTTTTTGTTTTAATAATAAGAATGGACAGTAATTTTTATTGATTTTATTTCTATATATTGAATCAAATGAGCTATAATAATTTGTATCTAAATAATTAAAATTTAATTAATTAATTAATTAATTAGTATTTAAAAACAAACTGTTTACAGATGATATAAAATTAGACAAAAAATTAAGCAAATTAAATTCTTCAAATAGTATTCAAATAGATTTGCAAAAAGGACAACTATCTTGGATATATTTTTTAATCTTAAAGATATATTATATTAGTGCATATTATAAAACTTAAAAAATAAATAAAATATTGTATTAATCTGAAAAGAATAGAATTTTTGTTAACAATATAATTTTAAAAATTCTATTAATTTTTTATGTTTTTATAGCTCTGTCTATGTTATTTTATTAATTTGCAAAAGTTTATTAATATGTTTCATTTTCTGTAATATAAAATAATTATTAGTTATTATTGTTAATATTTAAATAAACAATATATTATCTCAAATAACTTATTTATATTATTATTTGAAACAGAATTATAATATTTAAATAAATTATTATTTAAAACTAGTTGTAAAGTTCTTTTAAATAATAAAGTTTAAATATCTTTAATACTATTTATTAATTCTATTTTTAAATGTTTATTGCTTTTAGCTGCTTCTCAAATCTTCTCAATAGTATTTAATTGTCTAAAAATCTCTTCTTGCTTA